GATTACCTGAATTCAACTAACCAAAGGGACGAGTTAAAAGTGACAATTTTAAACTCAACAGTAGCTTTACAACTCTAAATCTGACTAGAAAGAAGTGATTTAAGTGGAATCAACAACCTAACATACATGCAAGATTTTCGGACTAGATACTAGTGATTTAAGTGGAAATAACAACATCATTATTTGTGACTATTTTATGGACTAGATTGGTATGCTTATTTTTATGAAACTCTGGAGGCAGAAATTTCAGTCAGTGGAACTGGATCCCGAATCTTTTATTCCTATTATACATGTGTCTTGTTTATTGAAATAACATTGTAATAACATTAAATATTATACCTTATAAATCTACCAATTGCTCAATTAGATCCAGCACAAGCGATAGCTGATGCATTCGGTTGTTTATCCGCCATAATAGAAACTTGCGGCACTGTGTAATCCAAATCCTCGGGTACCAGTTCGTAAAGCTGTAAAATCTGGTTTTTCCTCAGCACTTATTCTCATAAGGTTCTTTGTTGCTGCCTTAGTAAAACGAGGAGATTGCCCATTTCCAAAAAGAAGATCCAAATCACTGCAAAAATTATTCATAATGAATAAACTGTTCTAATTCCTTCTACCAACAAGACTTGAGTATTAACTGACCGTCAACCTTACCAATAACTTCGTACAATTCAATTACTCCAAGGCGCATATTCATCATTTATACAGTGTTCTATTCATAATTATATTATTCTAAAACATAATTCCATCCAAAGTAATTTCCAGTTTATATGTAACTTCTTTTTAAATTTATAAACCTTGTACGAGTTAAACAATCATTCTTTTCTAATATAACTAACAATTAACCTAAGAAAACAACTTACAAAACAATAACATTCAATTATTGTCATTGCTCATGCGTTTTGAATGCCCTTTTAGTTGTAACCTTGTTTTTACTTTGACTTCTTAAATTAAACCTTAAGTTTATTTTCATTCATCTTTGAGTTTATATTTTATTTAATGTAACAATATTTCAAGGTTTATTTTGATCGACTTGTTGCTGAACTCGTGGTCCAAAGGCACCAGAAGGTTTTGGAGACAGATGAAAATGGGTGCTTGGGTCTAATTAAAATTGAATTTGAAATCAGTACTTGAATTGTATATGAGTGAGTTAGAGAACTAAACCTTTCACTATTGCCAAAGTATCTTGTCAAGTCGCCCTGATCATCAAGGTTCGACCCGAGACTAACTCATAATTGAATCTATATTGATCGGTATTCCAGACATTTTTATCATCACAGTTAGCCCTCAAAAGGTTAATGTTTGAAACAAATTCAACAGCTGATTTTTGCAACTGAAACTTATTTTTTGTCCGTAAAAATTGTTTGTACACATCATCGATTGAATACTTTTTTCATTTTATCAACGGTTCTCTTGATTTTGGTCATTGGTCTTAAAACTCTGAGTCTCAATATTTCGAGAATAGCATAACTTACAATCATCATTCTTCTATTAAATATAATCTTTATCAAAAGGTATAACAATATGTTACTCAGTGTGAAATAAAGTCTCATCCAATTATATCAAATGAAGATTCTTCTAACTCGAGTGAATAGTCTTATAAAGTCCTTTTTTAGAACGAGTTGGTTTATCTGGACCAGTCCGCTTCTAGGACAATGATACCGTCATACGGTATCGTTTTTCCCGAAAAAAATGAAAACTTTTTTGATGAAAAAATGCAAATGAAAATTAATACAAAATTATAGGCCCCGATTGGAGTTCGCCTCTTAGTTCGAGTTCTCGAACTTGCCTCTCGACCCAATCCATATATCGCTCCTGAAACTCTGCAGTAGGTAAACCAAAAGCCCCTTTACATCGGTGGTCGATGTATTAAATGAACTGGTCCTTCTCGGCCATTTCATTGCGGAGATGAATTAGTAGAAGTGATGATTGACTAATAGAGAAAAACAAAGGTTATTAAAAGGTCAAAAGTGAATTAAATTAAAAAGTACTTACCCACGAGTTGGCATAGTTGAAAAATTAATGTTAATTTTAACAAAAAAAAATAAACTAAATTGAACAATGAATGGTGAAGATGAAGGCACGTTAATGGTGATAAAGACTAGAGATTACTTTAGAATGTGATTGAAATCGCACTTTTTACCGATGTAAACAAAGCGGAACCAGAGTCACTGTATAATGGTATTGAGATAGCCACACTGCAACATTGAAAAAACTAATACCGTATGACGATATTCCTCTTGGTTCAGAAGCGGACAGTTCGTTTGTCCTAGAAGCGGACTGGTCCAGAAAAACCAACTTTTTCCAGAAAAACCAAGTCGTTCCAAAAAAGGACTTAATAAGACTACTCAAGTGAGTGTTTAACTTTATAAATCAAGTCGAAATCTAACATAAGTAGTGCAATACTTCAACTTTATTTTACTGGTAAATAATATACAGCTAATATTCCACCAAACGCACTTTTAAGCAATTTTGTTCGTCTGAACATTCCCTCATATGTTTAGCAACATTTTAAACTTTTTAAAAGATTTTTCACACTTGTAGGAAACTTTACATTTATAATCCTTTTCGTTAACATCAAGACCACAATTAAGATTAAGATTCTCTGGCAATTCTTCAATCATAAAATAAAACTTATCGATTCTCATGCAAATCTCTATTCTGGATAAATTGGCTTCCTATTATCTTAATTTATAAAAAATCATAGTTTATTTCTTTGTTTTATTTATTCTAAGAATCCCGGGTCTGACATTAAATTGAGCAATCCAAATCCGGGGTCTGACAATATTGCTAATGGATGTACATTGCATTAAATAGCCTTAACCTGTGCAAAAATTGAAACTTGGACACCCTGTATTTTTTGCAAGGGGCATTTGCGAAACGAAAGACTTGACAGAGGTTCTTATCTGACCCATTCGAATATTTTGAGGTCAAAATGTATTGAAAACTCATGTAGCGTTTGGGAGCTTTCCTTATCAGTATGTATTAGCTCAATTTTTTCAATCCATTCACAATTATTAAGCCGTTCTTATATTACAAATAAGTAGCATAACTGTACTGGCATTTTCCAGAATATACTGTAAGAAAATCAAAAATGGTCATTAGAAAGAAGTAAGGGAATTTAGGTTCTTTAAGCAATGGTGTAAAACTTACGAAAACAAACAGATCCCTTTCGATTTTATTAATGACATCACCAATTCTGGCTCCGGTTCCATAAATTGCGATCCGATCCAATACTTTATGCATCTATTGTCGTTTAAATTGTTTCATAAATTGTTAAACATATTGAAATATAAAAGTTCAATACTTACATTTAATTTTTCCTCGTAACCGGCTTGACATTTGTGAATGATCTTGGTTAAAAGACCATGAATAATATTTGGCTGTAAAGATTGGTTAAATTAGAACTAATATTGTTTCCAAGCTGAGCTCTTTCTAGAGTTGAATTACTTACACGGTCAACAAATTCACCGGCAAAGTAGATTACAGATCCAATTGCAGTGATACAAAAGAAACCAGCGAAATAAAATGTACCAATTATATGTGAAGGATAGGATGAGACAATCGCCATGAAGATGACTGTATCAGCCAAAAAGGAGACGAAAAATATACAATAGAAGAATAGATATCTACAGTCTTTCATTATTTTATCATAACAATTTAAATAGAATAACAAAGAACGGGTTAGATGCTTGAGGCGAGATTCACTTATTCTGT